ATACCTCTATCCTGTTACACATTTCATCAAAGGTAAGATTTCTTGCATTCCTTTCTTGATCAAATACTTCTTTAAAGTGGACCCAGATGGTTGAGCTAATATTTGAATATTGAATTCGACCAGATCCTGTAGAATTTGATGATTGTATAGAGATTGATGATCATATGGATGATGATGATGCTTCACTTTGTTGATCGGATTCTCTTCTACTCATGCTTTGGATAAGAGAGTATTATTGATTGATTTCATTTTGGTGTGTCGTGATAGTTCTTTTGATTGTTTCGAATTCATTAACGATTTGATTAAAATTATTGTGATAGGTTTCTAGAACCTGTTTGATTTCATTATATTTCTCGTACATATCATTGATCATGGTAATGATATTCTGCGCCTCTGACACGTAGTTGGCATCACGAGAATTAATTTTTGTGGTGAGTTCATTATCGATTTCGGCTTTGATGTTGCCGATCTCTGTGGTAAGCTTTTGCATATAATACAAAAAGAAACACGTACCAAAGATTTCTATACACAGAGGAGCATGATCAGAGAATATCGTTATGAGGAGAAAAAACAAAGTAGTTAATGCCATAAAAGGCATATTTTTCAAAATGTTGAATAAATGCATCTGCATAAGAAAAGAAAATCTGATTAGAAAATTAATCATGGAAAACACATAGATATTCAATTACAAGCGAAGATACCTTTATTTTTAATGAATTTGCTTTTACCAGTATAAACTTTTATTAATTATATTGTGATTCTTTATTTTTTTTTAATTTTGTAGAAGTAGTTGTATAAAAGAAAAAATCTCTTCTTTTATAGATTAATAGTAATGCGATCAATTATTTCATGTAAAGGCTCGAACTTACTAGAAAAATGTTGATTCATCATTAAAAAATAAAGGTGAGGTCCCAGATCAAAAAGTCATAGACTGGGTAACAAAGTAGAACGATACACGATCTTATTTAAAATTATCAGGAGCATTGGCGTACTAGATCTGTAGATCGAGCTTCACATATATGTTTTTAAAATGGAGCTATATTAATAAAATATACTACTCTAGGATAAGCATCGTTGGGTAAATTTTATACCTCTTATCCACGATTTGCAAAAAATTCCCATCGATCATTTTCACATCACGATCCACAAATGTAAATCAGGAATATCTTATTAATAATTTAAGGTTGCGTAATGAAATATGTGCCAGAACTTTTGAGTAAAAAATAAGTAGCTACGCATCATAGTCGCACTAAACCAGGAACGGATGATAAACTGTATAAACAAAGAACAGTGTCCGGGGTTTCAAAATTAAAACTAGAGAATCTTAATTTATTTTGAAATACGCAACTTATCGAAACCCATTATAATGTGATGTAATTTCATGGTTATAATTAATTTTGTAGATATATAAGATCAGATGTGTCAAAAATACTATATATAGCTCCCCTATAAAGCTTGATAATTAGACATGATAGCATTCTCAATTTTCAAGTTTATTAGCATTTTGACTCACGAAGTGAGGAGGCTATGCCTCTAAACCCTTTGGGTCATTGCTTTGCAATAATACCGATCTTGAGCATGTTTTACAAATATTCCATCAGGTCTATAGAGCCATTTAATTACTGCATGCTGGATAATTAATGATGCATGATTTTTTTTATACAAAGTTACAAAATATGTTACTTGAATTTTAAATTCTTTAAATT